GACCGCTTTTCTCTGGAGTGCTCCCCAATAGAGTCCAACTCGATCATCGGAGTTGGAACTTCAGAAGAAGGTTCGGCCTTGTCCTGAACCGCAGGCCGAGCCACAGCGGGAGTTGCAAGCTCCGTACCCTCAACAGATTTAAGGGCGTGAGCACGGCCCTTAGACTTGCGCTTCACACTGCTAGTGAACCCGCACACCATTGCTGCAAGGCAGTTAAAGCAAGATGTCAGAAATAACAATTGAAATATAAGTAGAAGTAAGGCCGAGCTCGACTTACCAAGTTCGAAGTTCGGTCTCGAAGCTTCAACTGGACGCACCAAGGGGTTGTAGTCCAACAACCCAGATTCAAGGAGCAGTTTGTCAGTCACCAAGGTTCCGATCTTCAGGCCCCTTGGGAAGTTATCTTTGTAATACTTGAGGGTGTCGAAGGAGGCTTGTGTGAGCTCGGGAATCGGTTTGATCAACACTGCACAAGACAGAGAAGAATTCAAGTTCGATATGAAAAAGTTAGAACGGAAAGATTTAAAGATGCAAGAAGTGATTATAACGACCTCATACCTAGGTTCCCAAACCTAACAGACACGTCAAAGAAGGGACGACCTGATTCGTTCTTTGTCAGCGACTCTCCAGAGGCAAAGAACCATTTCCCCACCCATCCTTTGATAGAGGTCGGCCCTTTGACTATACCACCCGCGTCTTTCCTTGCGCACATATAATACCGACATGGCTTCTTAGCTATCCTCTTGGCCTCAAAGCACTCAAGAAGTTGGTCAACATTTAGTAGCTCGGCCTCGTCCTCATCCCAAGCTCGCAACCAAAAAAGAATGGCCAGGGCAAAAATGATACCCCATCCATTGGGGGCCACTTGTGCAGGAGCAAGACCAGTTCAATTTAGGAACTCCTGGGCAAAGGGGTGAAGAGGAAGTCTGAGGTCGTACTCAAACATTTTCAAGTAAAGAGTGACCCATCCCTCTGGGGGGTTGTCAGCTTTTTCCCCTTCCTCCGGAATTCTAAGGAGGATGTCATTTGGAATTTTAAACCCCCTACGGAGGGGTCCGAGATAGTGCTCGGGCATTTTTGAAGGGTATTCCAAACCCTGGCCCGAGGTGGAAGTGTCACTATCCTCCCCATCGTCCGAAAATCTAAAGTTCTCTATCTCTTCCAGCTCGGACTCTAACCTAAGAGCTAAGTCCTCCCCAGAGTCACTTGGTTTGGGGGGTGAACTGCTTATAGTCCGACCTGCGCTTCCTAGGCTATCACTACTGGAAGGGGAAGACAAGAAAACTACCATATTTGAAAACAAGAGTAAAATAAGAGCGACTGACCTACGAAGGGTTCGAGCTGGTTTCAGATCGAACTCCAGAAATTCAGGGAACGTAAGGTTTGACCTGAAGTCTCAGAACTATTTATAGCTAATCGGAAAAACCTCTACGCCGTACACGTGTAATGAACGAGTGGCCAGGATCATCTCGAAATTCGTAACGACGGAATACTTGAGTACTCCGACAACCTGACAGATCGAAACATCTTCCGCAACGGTCATATTCTCTTTACGAATTAAAAGTCACCACGTGTCCAAAATCGAATCTGATCAACTTCTCTGCCAAGTCGAGATCGAACCTGACAGAGAGGGGGCCAATGTTTGGGGTAAAAATATCTTGGACACGTGGAGGACGCTTATTGGTGTTCAAGAATTAAAATATCTCAGGTCCACCTCAAACCTGCCGAAGAGGTCGGGTTCGCCCATTGGGAAAAGGCTAAGTATACATGCCGAAGTCCAATCTGACTGGGGTTCGATCTGCTCGGAACCCAACAGGTCCGACATGAGAAAAAACATGTACCCGCCGGTCGTGAGTACTGTCGGATCCACCACCTATAAATAGACGGCCTCATTTCACGCTAAGGTATCGAATCTCACCTCGAGCTAAATACTGAGTCCGACCTATACTGACTTGAGTGTCGGAGTGTTTACCCTCTTGTGCAGGTCCACTCTTGTGTTCAGGTCGAGCCGGGGACCGGGTTCGAGCTTGGTTTGTAAAGCATCGTTGTGCAGACCTTTGCATAAACAATTTTGATAAGGAAAAATAAGAGAATAAATAAGTTGATGGAAAATTTAAAAACTAATTTTAAATTGTACCACCACTTACTCTTTTAAACCTACCAAAAAAAATTTAATAATTTCTCGTCTTTTTAGTCTAATTATTGGCGTCAATTAATAATTGTCTAAGGTATATTATTAATTTTGTTTTTTTAGGTGACTAAGGTATATTATTATAAAGTTTACATCATATATATTATATGAGTTTGACTATTTGAAGTTATGTCACATATAATAATTAGTATGGGACTAGAACATAAAATTCTCATGTTTAAACTATTTTTATACCTATAAATATTATCATTATTATTTTATGTTTTAGTTTCTTATTTTATTTTTATTAGTGTTATTGTAAATTTAATTTAGAATCTAAATAGAGATACTATAAAAAAAAATTGATGGATTATATGTCTATTGAATAAAAGTAATATTAGTTTCATAGATATTTTATATAACTAATTTAGAAAAACTATCGACAAATTCTAAAAAAATAACAAATTGTTGAATATTCAAAATTAAATTTGTAGCCCAATATGATTAAAAAAAATCAAAATAAATAACCTAGCTTCCTCAAAATCGTACTTTTATTTAATTACTTGTAAATTAGTATTAACTCTCTCTCAAGCATCTCACGAGTATGAAAAAAAAGACATAGTTTGATTCCCACCCTACAACTATTGAACCAAAAGGAAATAAAGTCTTTTGTTTGGACCCACCTCCCCTCACCTTCCACAAGTCATCCCTCAATAATTTCTCAGTACTAAGAATACTCTTTAAAAGATCATGGTGCAAAACTCATGAAATAACAATCTCCCACACATTAGATTTAAAAGCAAAATAAGTGATCATTACAATACAACAGAATTTTTCTACACTGAAGATCAAGGTGCACACATCTAACTACTTGTACAAGCTCTTCATCCCAATTCTTTTATCACTTGGATTGAACCTAATGACAACAAGACGAACCAAACCTCCTTTGAAACATTGCATGCACCATCAACTATCCGAGTCGGACTATACACACAAAATATAACTATCTTGATGTTAGGAGTCAATGCACTACAATTCAAAAAGTTACTCACAGCGATTTCTACTGACTAGCTTCATTCGATAGTGAGAACGCAACCCATTTGTCATCACTCATTGATAATATGGTGCTGTCCTGGGGAAATTTCATATTCGGTTCGCGGGGACATACAAAAATCCTTTTGGAAGATGAACTCTTCCCAGCTTCTAGCTTGGAGATTAAATTCAAAACATAGTTGTTGCTCTCAGAAGGAACATCATGTTGAGCAACGTTTTGAACTTCAGAACCAAGGTCACAAGATGGAGCTCTCTTTCTTGTTGAGATGCTACAAGGCCCTGAACATTGAATATAAGAGTATTACCAGCACAACAAATTTCTAAATGGAATAAGAGGATGAAATGTATAACATGTTTGAACAAGTTTTATATACCAAGTTTGGATAAGGGTTTATGCATGAATTTATGCTGTTCGGAAATTTTTTTATACAAGCTGTCGATGTGTCATGCATCAGAAATGGATGGAAATACATGTAATAGCCAAGTAAAAGCACATAAAATGTAATAATGTGAGAGGACAAGTCACCTCCGTCATTAGGTTGTTTCTCAATTGAAGGACTGGATCTCACTAGTTCCATATTCGTGCTGACGTTGGATTGCGAGCTAGAAGAGACGACTTCGACCTGAGAAGCTTGTCCTCCTGGAGATGCAATCAAATGATTCTTGCCTAGATCATAAATGCACAAATGATAGTAAATATTGAAAACTTGCTTTTTAACTGAGTAAATAACTACCAGACATGTAAGAAGCACTCTTAGATATGATGCTTTAGTCATGACTCTCAAGAACCACCATGGCATCAACTTATAATAAATTGGACATTCAAATCCCATAAAATAAATAAATATGCATGTTTAAGTTATTAAAAGTCATATTAGAAACCAAACCATAAACAATCAATTAAAATACCTACTATAAATACTGTAGCCAATAACACTTACCCTCTTTTAGAGAAATATAAGCAACTTTCGCTGCACTCATCTCAGCTTGTTTCTTAGTTCTCGATTGTTGCCCTTCAAAAGTTTCTTCTCCTACTTTTACAATTGAAACAAAAATCGGTGCATGAACTTCACCAGATTGCAATGTACTATACGCTGGTAATCCTAAACCTCTTTTTTGGGCCATTTCTTGCAAGAAATTTTTGTAAAGACCAGGATTCTGAAATTTGTAAAAATATATATACATATAAATATGTGAGAAAGTGTAGATATTTCAGTTGTGCAAAAATCGTATACATGAGCATGTCAATAACTTATTTGCTTTATTCATGAAAGTATCGATTGGAATACTAGCCTCTTGCGCTCCATCTTGACATGACAGCAAAGCAACTTTTGCAACTGCATTTTCAGCATCTTTCAATGTAGCAAAAAGTTCTGAACTTTCATAAGTTCTTCCACCAATTTCCACTTTGCACCTGAAACGACTAGCATGAGGTGGGCCATCACGTTCACATGTGTATATAGGTAACGTGAGGTTTCTCTTCTGAGCAAAATTTTGCAATTGATTCTTGTGCAAATGTTGCATGCCTGTGAGCGTCAAAATAAAACTCAAGTTATGATATTAATTCACAAATGAGAAGGATAGTATGAAATCCAAATTTTGAGACAATGTAAGATAAACTAAGAAAAACATGGAAGAACTAAAGAATAACAAGAATTGGTCATACTAATTAGTTACATAACTTTCCCAAGCATTATAGATGTCTTTAGCTTCCAATCAGAAGTTCCTCCCCTTACTAGTCCCCAGTTCCCCATTCTAACTAAAAAAATGCAACCAAATTAATCTGACCTCCCTAACTCCCTTAATAGCCTCAATTATGGTTTAGGGAAATTGATCATATAGTCTTGCTAGTTCTTCCCTCTCCTTAAGGTGGTTCACACTGATTGACTATTTGTATCAATACCCACAACTCAAGCTTTCACCTAGTCTCCTCCTTGAAATTAAGGGAATAAAGAGTGAATGGTAGAGAAAGTAACCCTAGAATACGTACTAATACTAGAATGACCGTGTCAAATGAATCAGCATCTCCAATTCAAACAAAATATATATTAAAGGCAGTGCATACTCCAAAACAGCAAAGACACTTGGTCAAGGGAGCTTCATTTTCCAAGGTTAAACTCCCCACTCCAAATCTTCCTTTTCATAAGCTATCTCTTTTTTTTTTGGATAAGAAACACTTTCATAAGAAGAACAATAGAACAGGAACAGCCTAAAGGAGGGGGGCCAAGACAGCCCCTTCCAAAAAAGAATCTAATAACAAAAAAACTCTCCAATTTTGTAAAATCAGAGAGAGGCTGTAATTATAGAAGAATTTCTAATTTCTAATGCACCACCAAGAAGCTAAAACCTGCCCACTATTGCAAAAAGAATCCCAAGAAGGAGTGTTTGTTCCTTTCCATCCAAACATTCCAAAGAAAAGCTCTGAAAGTGCATCTCCACAAAACTCTAGCCTTTCCATTGAAATCCCAACCGTGAAAACATTCTAATAACCAGCTCTCCACGTCTTTAGTCATACGTAATTGGACGTCAAAACATTGAAATAGAAGCTGCCAACCTTTTAAAACAAAAGGGCAGTGAAGAAACAAATGATCCAAAGTCTCTACCCTTTTCCAGCAAAGACAGCAAACCGACGGAGACAAAGACCATCTCGGGCATTTTCTTTGAAGTTTCTCATGGGTGTTCAGCGCTCGGTGAGCCAAAGACCATAGGAAAACCTTTACTTTCTTCGGGATAGGGTCCTTCCAA